AGCAATTCCGCGGATGTCTGAATTCTATTTCTACTCCTTGTAATCGAAAATATATGGTTAATTTATGTAAATTATGCTCCAGAGGGTTAAGCAGAGGTTGAGTTCAATAATTTGTACGGCCCTCGGAGGATGTTGTAAAAATTGAAAGGAAAAAGGATCCCCACCCCTGCTGTAAATAATAATAAAAACCCTTGATTTATAACTTAACATATATGTCTCCTATTGATCTGAGTATATTATAAAGAATAGCCAGTTAATTGAAGCATTATAGCACAGGCCTTTGTCAGATGGTATATTACGCTGTTTTTTTCCTGCTTCGAATAGTTCTCTCTTTTTTCACCATACCTGTGTTTGCATCACTGATTTTCAAATTATAGCGCACTCGAGCTGGTTTCTCCAAAATTACATAACCCACCTTTAAATAATATATTTTGCTAAAAATAATTTTATAACGTGATTTCAAATAATGCATAAAAAAAAAAAAATTAAGTGGTATAACCCATTTATTTTTATGAAAATGAACTGGACAGCTAATGAAAGTTCCCAAATATGTACTTTGTTATAATGCTGTCTTTGAAACCAGGAAAACACCTTTTTTTTAAATGAACACATCCAAAATACTAGATGATATCTAGTCCAGACAATTGAATATCGATACATTGCATAGCCATAATTACAAATAAATAGGATGTAGTTTGGATGTAGGGAGAAGTCTTCTCCAATCTGCTTCCTGTCAGCGTGCAGTGTCCTCCGTCAGAAACAAACAGTTAGAGCAAATAACTAAAGTATGCTAGATACTAGCGCCGCAATGAGAGCCTGAAGTTTGCGGGAGGTTAGGTTTTACAGCAAGCCCCGTACTCTTTACACTGTCAACAGAGGTGTGTCCTGTTGTGTGGAGGAAAACCAAATTACTTTTTCCACATGCAACAAATCAAATCCTTAAGAAATCAGAGGAAGTTGTTGTGATGTTGAAATAAGTGTTGAAATAACCACATTTATCTGTAAATGTTATGATTATAAACATAACTATTTTATATTACCAAAGGAAAACATAAACTAAATATAAACAACAATTGTCTTGTATTATAAAATCATGACAACATTAACATATGTTTACAGATTGAAAGGTTTAACAATAGAAGGTTCAAAAAATTAGTAGAATCTGTTGTCTGAAATCTTACTAGGGCTACAATTATAAGACAATGACTGTTTACATATTTTGCTGTGTATGTATGTATATTACAAGTCTATACAAATAAATACCAATATATTTAAAGGATGTCAAAGAGCAATACAAATGTACTATTTGCTTGGTAATGAACTGGCACTTATCAAAATGGTTATTAAGTATAAAAATTTGAAATACTGGATGCCTGACAGTTACAGGATTGCATTGTGGTAAAAGTGGATAAATACAAGATTTTATTAATTTAAGTAACCTTCCATTTTCTTATTCTTGTCCCTACAGTGATACCTCATTGGCTGGTGTGACCCCTGCCGGCCCGCCACCTCCCAAGGTGGGCCCCGATTGGCTGGACCTGCCCTGGCGAAGCAATCGGCACCCTCAGCTGAAGAGCTAAGCCCCGCAGTTTCCTCCCCCATCCCCCCTACGTCACTGTTCATTTCTTTGATGTGAACTGTGATTCCCTCCGTCCTGTTTGCTTTAGAGTACTATGGCAATGCATGATATGAGTCGTGCCAAGGGTTTCCCCTGTAAAGAGTGTGATATGGTTTGTCCGAGTACTCCAAGTCTTCTAGAACATATGAAAGCACATTATCAGCAAGAAGAAAACGGACGTTTTGAGTGTGAACAGTGTGGGCGAGTTTACAAGCACGCAGCTAGCCTAGCCAACCATAAAAAATCTCACGAAGTGGGTTCATTCCAGTGTCCAGTTTGTACGCGTACGCTGCCCAACGCGGTAGCTTTGAAAAACCACCTACGTATCCATACTTTGTCCCCCAGTAGTGCACACGCAGAAGAAGAGAGTGAAGAAGTTCCCGAAGAAACGGGCCACGACGAGAGGGACTACGGTCTCGCCCAAGACCTCTCAGACGGGTTTGGGCGCTCACATTTGAACAATAGTGGTATGGGACATAGTGTCCTACAAGGCCACGAGACGGACAACCACGGTAAAAAAGGTTCTCCCGAGCACGACAACGCTTGGGACCGACCATTCAAGTGTGATCAGTGCGAGAGAACCTACCGGCATCACGGTAGCCTGGTGAACCACAAGAAGTGTCATCAGCAAGGAACTTTTAAGTGCTCTGTGTGTTTTAAACAATTTAGCAACCTGGCTGCCCTAAACAGCCACGAGAGAACTCATTCGAAGTTCAAGACCCCTGGAGCCTCAATGGTGAGCAGCAGCAGCAGCCTCCACGACTCACGCAGCAGTGGCACCCAGTCGTCTCAGAGCAACGACACTGCCTCGTGCTTTTGCCACCTGTGCCAGATAGCGCTGCCAAATAAGACAGACTTTCAGGAGCACATACTGCTACACAACGCAGCCTCGCCCTCCCTTGGTCTGCCGCGCAATTTCCCAGGAATCATGGCCCACAATCTGAGTGCTGTTCGATCCCCAGCATACACCCCTGCGCTGGGTGACCCTCTGCCCCTGCCACCCCTGCCCACTGACAAAAGAGGCCCCTATGACCCCATTATGGGCCCTCCAGTCAACAATCCCATCTACACATGCGCATATTGTGGCGCAGGACATCCAGATCTGGAGACCTTAAAAGTCCACTATCTGACCCATGACCCTAACCCTGCCTCTCACGGCCAGGAAAGCTCCATTCTCAGCTCTGGATCGCAGGGCTCAGTGTCCTCTCCCTCCGGAGGCCGTGTGCCCCAGGCCAATTCTCCAGATAATGGAGAGCGACGCTTCAAGTGTGGAGAGTGTGGCAAAAGCTACCGGCACGCAGGAAGCTTGGTCAACCACAAGCGCTGCCATCAGACAGGCCACTACCAATGCACAATCTGCTGTAAGCAGTACCCCCACCTGGCAGCGCTACACAGCCACCTACGAAGCCACAAGGGGCGTTCTGGCAACACGTCTTTAAATAATGACGGCAGTGACTGGCTGTCTCCAGAGCCGCTAACCCTGGACTCCCAGCAGAGCTACGTCCAGGAAGGCAGCGGCGCCACCACTCCAATTTCCCTGCCAGGGAATCTTGGTGATGCGGCCCACTTTGTACAAGATGGTGGCCATAGCAGTGGGTTGGACTCTCTTGAGTTTCACGATCGCTTTGATGGTAGCTCACTTTCCCAGAGCAACTCTGCTCACCGTCAGGCTGACAGACATGTGTGCGCCGACTGCGGCGAGATGTATGGAGATGTATCTGGCATCAAGTCGCACATGTGCCCTCGTCGTGGCCAGCAGCCTCAACAGCAGCAAGGGAACATGTCTAACGGTTTCATGGGAAACATGAACTACGACAGCTCCAGTGCAACCTCGCTGCCTGCTGGAAGCTCCAGCAGCCTGAAAGAAGGCAGCAGCCAGCGGCAATATTCCCAGAGTGGAGGCAAGAGAATGGGAAGCAATGACAAAGATGATGACGATGATGGAGAAGTGTATCAGTGTTCGGTGTGTGGCAATCACTACGCCAGCCTCCGAGCCCTCAGGAGCCACCTGCGTAGCCATGCGAATAACCCAACAGGGCCCGGCCCTTCCTCCCTGGAGCAGGAGTGGAGGATGATCTGCTCCACCTGTGGCCAGAGCTTCTCAAGGAAGCAAGACCTCCTAAATCACCAGTTAGTCCATGGCCCCCAAAGGCCTGATGGCCAGCAACAGAGTATTGTAGGCAGCTCGGCTAATGGCAATGACAAGATGGACGGACGCAACCATATTTGTGTTGACTGTGGCATGTTTTTTGCCGACCGCCACCACCTGATCACACACCTGTGTCCTGGTAAGAATAGGTCGAGCTCCCTGAGCAAGCAGGGTCTGAATGGAGCCAAAGGGATGTCCGGAGGAGAAGGTGTCGCTGGTGGGGGGGTTGCTGGTGGAAGCCGTGAGGTTGGTGGCGATGGACGTAGGCCTATGGTGGACCAAAGTGACAAGCCCCATAAGTGCGACCAATGCGGGCGAGGATACAGACACCCCTGCTCACTCCTTAACCACAAGAAGTCACACAAGACGGGGGTTTTCCGCTGCTTGGTGTGCCAGAAACGCTACTACAATCTGCTGGCTCTCAAGAATCACCAAAGGACCCACTTTGATCTAAAGAGGTAGGTCCCAGATTCTGTCATGTTTTGTTTTATATAGATGTTTGAAAGTTGGCTGGTGCAGTTTATGTTAAAGATAACATTTTTGCCAGATTCTGAAGCCCTTGGTTGTTATATATTGCACATGATAGGGCTGCTTGATTATGGCAAAAATCATAATCTCGATTATTTGGGTCAATAATTGATATCACGATTATTAAAAACGATTATCCATTTACTTTGAAAACATCCATTTATTGGAGAAAAAAAATGTGAACAGTAGGTTTTTAACAGTTGATTACCATGAACTTTAATTATAACTCAACTGAAAAACCAATACAAAAAATAATTAATAATAATAAAAAATAGTGGTTTTATTTCGATTACGTTGTTTTCGTAATCGTTGCAAGCCATAATAGTAATTGAAATTTATAATACGATTAATTGAGCAGCCCTAGCACATGATGATCTTCATTGGTTTGATTTCATCTCAATCAAGTTGACTAATTCCTCATTTATTTTGACATCTTTTTAGCTTGTAGTGGAAACCGGTTAACGAGATTTAGCATAATCTTTTGTAAAATGTTTCCCATGGTAGACTCTGATTTAGTCCATGTGTTTCCAAGCATGTTGCAAGTAAGTTGATCATAATAAAATTATCCCCAAAATATATCTAATAAGGAATAGCCTTCCCAAGTGTCATGTTTAATACCACCATCCCCCCTGATATTAGTCCTAGATTTTAATGTATTTACTGAGTTTTCTACATCTCTGCTCATCCTTGCTGCAGGCACAAGTGTGAAGAATGTGGAAAGGCTTTCAAGATCCAAAAGCAGCTGATCAACCACCTTCGTCTCCACGAGGAGCACCGAGCCAAAGGTCTTGTTCGGACTGGACCCAACAGTTCTCGCTTCCAGCAGCCTGGGACATCTCAAATGCAGAATATGAGAGGAGAATCATCGAAGGCCCAGCCGATGGGCGTGAAATATAGCCAGCAAGGGTTCAAGAAACCCTACTCTTCAGCTGGAACTTCAAGGCCCCAGAAGTTTGATCCATCTGAGACTGGACGTCGGCCTTTTTCATGCGAAGAATGTGGCAAGACATACCGACATGCAGGCAGCCTGGCCAATCACAAAAACCTTCACAAAATTGGGGAGTACCACTGCAACGTTTGCAACTCCACATACCCCAACAGGCTGGCAATGAAAAACCATCTACGTCTCCACTTTGCCCAGAAGAAGCACAACTGCCAAGAGTGCGGCAAGGGCTTCCGTACCCAGAGGCAGCTAGCTACCCACACTACAGCTGGCCTGTGCAAAGGACCGCAGGGCCCCGGGGTCCAGATGGATTTTGAGTGCGATGGCTGCTGCGAAGGCTTTGCCACGGCCGATGAGCTTGCAGCCCACGACTGCCCGGCCCAGCACCTGCCTTCATCCTCCTCAAGCAACACCCCCAATATCAGCTTGGAGAGAAGTTCTGTGGACCTGGACTCTGACGAGAGACCCTACGCCTGTGACCTGTGCAGCTGTGCCTACAAACATGCAAGCTCATTGCTGAACCACAAGCACACCCACAAGACAGGCAACTTCCGTTGCAATTTCTGCGACAAGCCCTACACCAACTATATGGCCCTGCGCAACCATATGCGCATCCACACGCAGCGGAAGAAGCACATCTGCCACACGTGTGGGAAAGCCTTCCGGCTTGCCAGGTTCCTCCGAAACCACCAGAAGGTCCACGAGGAGGGTGCTACCCCCTTTGGCTGCCCCACCTGTGGGAAGAGTTTCCAGGGGAGATCCGGCCTGGCCAGGCACCGCTGCGGGGACAACCAGGTAGGCATGGAAATCAGGAAGAAGGCCACTGCGACCCCGGGAGAGGGCGAGGAGTGTCGGTACACGTGAGTTCTCGTCAGTTGTTTGTGATTCTACGAAGTTGGCCCAAAAAATAGTGAAGATAAATTTAGGTCTCTACGTGTCTATTACAGGTATATGATCTCCAATCCGGCTTCCTTGGGACCATACGCGTGCCGGAATTCGGATTTTTCTGAAGTTTGGACAAATTGAATTAGTGGAGAGACCAGATAAGTCAACCCCGTTTGCTTTCAGTTAGCATATCACACACTTTAGTTTTTAAGGCTACCTTCATGTTTAGATGTTTTGTTTTCATGCTTTGCTTTACTTATCCAACCTTAACACAGATTTGCTTTTTAAGTATTTTGTGTTTAGCATATTAGCAACATTTTTAGTATCGATGTTTGTTCCTTGCTCTTGTAATGATTTTGATTGTAGTCTTTGATTTGTTTGTTTTTGTTTTCTTTAGGCAGTCTAATAATACTGGCCAGTTATTAGACTAGAACATGCAGTTTTATGATGGGACACTTGCATTTTGATGTCTGGCAAATAAAAGTCAGAGGATAGATTAGGAAGTATTTGGAGCTAGCTGCACTGCACACGTCAGGGGTTATTCTTACATCTTTCGTTATTACAGGCAGACATGGTAGAGGTTCTTTGGCATTTTTGATGGATCTTTCATCATTATATACAGAAAAGAGTGATTACTCAAAAGACGGCTGTGACAGAAGGTTTATTAAATTGTTCCCATATGTGAAAGAAGCGTGCGTCCATTTGTGCAGTGCAGGGAGCAGCAGATACTTCCCAGTCCCCCACATGAATCCCAGTTGTTTTTCCATAGTTGTCCCCCCATGCCCCTCCCTCCCTATCATCTGTGTAGAAATCATTACTTTAAATGGTACACCACTTTGTAGTAGTCTTCTTTCTTTGAAAGCTTTATGCCGGATTTCAGATCATATACCTGTATAAACAACATCTTAGATGATGAGTTGTCAAAATATTTCAATAATTCTAAGAAAAAGTGGTAACCAGAGTTAAATTCGGATAGAATTTTGTAAGCGGACTATCATTTTCAGTTTCTAATCTCCCTTTTCTCTTACCCTCTGTCCCATCCCCATGTTTGTCCTAATTTGTCTCTGCACAGGTGTGATCAATGCGGACGCTCCTACCGCCACGCCAGCTCCCTCCTCAACCACAAGAACACCCACACAGTCGGCATCTATCACTGCGCCGTGTGCCTCAAGACCTACTCCAACCTGCTTGCCCTGAAGAACCACCGTCGTATCCACTCGGAGATACGGCGCCACCAATGCCACGACTGCGGAAAGGCATTCCGCGTTTCCTCCCAGCTCCACAACCATCGACGCGTCCACCAAAAGCAGCGGGAGCTCACCTGCCGGTCCTGCCAAAGATCCTTCCCCACGCAGGCCAGCTTCAGCCTCCACATGGAGATCACCCATGGCCAGACGCCTCAGCCCAGACCCCAGCAGCCTCGGCCGGGGGGCTCCAAGGAGCTGGGCTGGGGGTCAGGCCTGGACCTCACTTTGATGCAAGAGCAAGGACTGCACCCTGGCAGCATTGCCAAAGCCCGCAGCCGTGGTGGTCACAGCGAGGTCCTCAAACCCCACGTCTGCGATCAGTGTGGCCGCTCTTACCGCCACGCCAGCTCCCTACTCAACCACAAGAACAGTCACAAGACTGGGACCTACTTCTGCAACTCCTGCCAGAAAGAGTTCCCCAACCTGATGTCCCTCAAGAACCACCGCCGGATCCACACAGAGCCCAAACGCTACCAGTGTCCCGACTGCGGGAAGTCCTTCCGTGTCTCCACCCAACTCATCTGCCACCGCCGCATCCACACCAAGGAGAAGCCGTTCTCCTGCCAGCAGTGCGACAAGCACTTCTCCTCCAAGTCCAACCTGCGGCACCACATGAAGGTGCACTGGAACGGATCCACGGCGCCCCCTCCCATGGCCATGGGTGCGCCCAACTTCCTGGGTATGCCCGGCGGCCCCTTCATATAATATGGGATCAGGGAAGGATGGGAGTCAGGGCGGGCGGGGATGGGGTAGCGGGTGCTTTGAAGTCACATGCCAAGGTTTTTTCCATGTGCGGCCGTAGTGTGTGTGTGTGCGTGTGTGTGTGTGTGTGAAGGACAGGTCCTGCATGACTGAACATACACGTAAAGCAGAGCGCAAAATGGACGCTTGTGCGCACACACACAGAACTCAAAACGGAGGACATGCACACACTCGTTTCTAACCTTTCTTGCGCCAATGCTTCCTTGGGGGATGCTCCGACAAGGCCCTGTTTGTAGAACTGTCCCACGCAGACTGACAGACAGACAGACATGATGTAGTTTCATAGACTTTACTACACCTGCCTTACTCCCGCCTGCATGTTGCCCCATACTGCCTGGGGAGGGGTTTAACCTTTCTCCGGAGCACCTGCAGGGACTTTTCTGAAAGCCCAGCTCGTAGAGACTGACGAGTCCTGTGGTTGTGACTGTTGAGGAAGTCTGATGGGTGCTCATTTCAACCCCAGGAGCTCATTGGTCCTGTGTTTGCAGTTTCTCTGTTTCCCGCCTCCATCCCTGTTCTGACGATGTTCATAGTAAGTTTTGCGTGGCCTTTGTCACAGCGTTTTTAAAACCATATTCAGACAGAGTCTGTCCACACAGTGTTTTTATTTAAGACCAACATGTAGGTAAAGTGGAGACTTTTGGTTTGTTTTTTCCTTTTTTTTGTACCTGGATGGTTTTGACGAGAGGAAACAATGACTTGTGGGAGCTTTTAGGACCAGTAGATTGAATGGTTGGGTTTAAACGTGTGTTTTTGTGTGTGTTTAGCACCAAGATGAGCTTCTTAACTTTGTAACTTCCTAAAGCCTTGTTCCCACTAACAGATCCAGCAGCAGCAGTGTGTCACACCTTTTTAGTCTAAAACCCGCAGGCGTGTTCAGCGGTAAACGGGTCATTTTAAAAATACTATGTCAATAGCACACAAGATTATTTCCTGTCCAACACATTTTCATTATTGTCAATTTTGTTGGAAAGTAAAGTTTTACAGATGTTTTTTTTTTTTTAAATCAAATCTATTTGATTTGAAAGCCCTATTGAAGAGGAAGGGTGACTTGGTTGAAAGCCCCAGAAAAGGGCTAGTAAGCCCACCCCTAAGTGGGGATATATTTGCCCAAATCTTTTGAAGTTCAAGAATAAACACTGAGGCGTGATTGGGTTGGTTTGTTCACTTATGGTTTGCTTGTTAAAGTTTAATCGTAGAGAACTGTCAAACTGTTAACCAACGATTGATTTGTTTTATACCTCGGAAAATGTCGGAAAACTCTTATGGCTTGGACAAAACAATCCAGTCCATCTGCTTTTGGCGTTAAGAAAGTAAGTGGACCCTGAGTTTGGATAGTTTCAGGAATGCATTTTAAGTCCTTGTTAGATCTACATTTACGAACAAATGTTAACGTTTAACGTGTAATTTTATTTTTATCGTATTGGTTCTCTAGTGTTGCCTTCAACTACAAAGTTCATTAGAGCTACGAGTTTCTGCTTGGTAAATGAGGTTTCAATTATGCGGAACAAAAATTAATACAATTATTTAAGACCCAACAAAAGATAGAAGAACAATATTTTGGCTGTTTTTTTTTTTTTTTACAAGCAAATATTATCAGCCCACACGTTTTTTTCTTTCAATTTTGCATTAAAACTAAAATGATCGCGTTTCTTACCTCACGCTCGCTGTGTGTGAATCTGTGTGTGAACGTGGCTGCAGGTTTACAGAACAAAGGAAAGAAAGTAAAACACACAAATTGACGGTGTATATTGTCGGGCCTGTATTGTAATCGTACTTTCTGTATTATCTGCGGGAACTCTTTTGTAAGAAGGAAAAAGACGACAGATCATTGTAATAATGCATTTATTTATATTATTATTATTAACACTTGTAATGGACAGCGCTAGTCTTTAGGATGTGTGAGTTTAGAGCTTTGTTGATGTAAACCCCCCCCCCCCCATCTCTCTTACCCACAATCCCCTCTGTTCAGTGGAGAAGATTTAAACACTATGTAAACAATGGAAAGTGTTTTCTTGCCTTTTACCAAGTGATGTTGTGACGGTGGAGACTTCCCATCATCCATCTCTTCCATATTTATCTCTCCCCCTCCACCTACTTCCTGTTTCACAAAAATCAACTCACATGGCAAAGGGACGCCTTAGTGATTCTCCTCCATCATTTGAACCTTTTTTATGGTAACCTCTTGTATTTATTGGTGTTTTTATTTTATTTTTCTCCTTTTTGTATTTAATTGCATTATTTGGAAAGCCTCTGTGTGCGTTTTTTTTTTAAAGAACACAACTTGTCAGCGTATTCAGGAGCACTGGTGCTAGTTAAAAAAAAAAAAAAAAGTTAAAAACCGTGCAGTGACCGTCAAGTGCTGTAGGAGTCGATGTGATCTAGAAACACAGAAATGATAATAACTGTACATTTTCACATCTTCCTGTTCTGAGTGGACCCATTTCAGCTAGTTTTAGAGAGAAGAAAAAGATTTGCTTTGGAACAACTATAACTAGGGATGCTCCGATCGCCAATTTTGGGGCCGATCGCCGGAATCAGTATCGGCCCATCCGATCGAGTGGGTGGGGCCTATGGGGATCTTCCATTTAAAGTGATGTTTAAAACTCAGTTAATGGGGCTCATTCACTGGCGCTTCCACAAACAACAACCAACATAATTATTACATTCAAATTGAGCCCCATTAACTGAGTTTTAAACATCACTTTAAATGGAAGATCCCCANCATGAAGTATGACGCTGCGCTGTCAGTACGCTTGTCCATGTTTGTGATTGGTCAAATGTTGCTAACCCCGCCTCTTTCACGTGAACGCGCTCTCAGCCGGACAGAGAAACCCTGGGTTGAGTTACTGAGTTGATAACCAGCATCGTAGGACCGCTTAGCGGGATCTCGTTTGTTAGGCTTAGTTAAGCCAGATAACTCAAAGATATCCAGGGTTTGTTGAACTGGCTTCGTTGTACAGGCCACGGACCAGGTAAAACAAAACAACAAACACGAAGAACAAAATAAACAAGTAGAGACCAGAGGGCATGAGAAACAGGAGCAGATAAGCAGACAGGAACTTGGGGAAACAGGCAGGAACATAGACAACGATATAACAAAGAACACAAGGGAAGACAAACCAAAATACATACAAGCCTAATCACAGAGACAACACACAGCTGGAGGGTGGGGGGACACAGGGGCAGCAGAGGCCTGTACTACGAAGCTGGTTCAACCTAACCTGGATATGTTTGAGTTAGCCGGTTGGCCTAATCCAAAACATACGCGCTCTCGCTAAACGGTACTACGACGCGGGTTATCAAGTGGATCGCTCAAGCCAGCCGTGCCCTATCTAGTTAGGTGCGCGTTCACATGAGAGTGGTGGTATTTGGAGCATTCGACCAATCACAAACATGGAGAAGCGTACTGACAGCGCAGCGTCATACTTCCTGAATGAAAAGTCAACTATAATATTAGACATATGAAGAAGTTAAACTTTAAACATCCATGACTTAAACACTGTATCCAGGATAAAAGCCACAAAAGCCACACTGCAAGGTGAATACAGCTGGTAAAAGAAAAAGTGTTTGAATGCGTACATTAACAGGTTTATGATATCACTGCCCCGTCTAAGACATGAGTGGATCTGACTTTAATTACATTTGTCTCGAGTGTTTCGTCAACTTAATGTGTTGCTTAAAATAATACTTCATAATACAGTATGTGACACTAAGTGTTGCACGGCCAGATACGGCTCAGCTGACTCAGATAAGGAAATATATGAGGCTACATTATGATGTGATATGCCGCGGACTGTACTTAATGTTACTCTGATCCGGTTACTTATGTTGTGGCAGATATTTAAGTAAGCTTTCTTAACGCTAATGTTATAGTAGTCAGATTGCTCTGAAGATGGGAGGTGATATTCTATTAATGTTCACGTTCACACAGTCGGTGATTTTTGCTGGCCGTCTTTCCTGCAACGGCAGCTTTTCTGTATTTCCTTTCTCCTGTAATATGACTTGATCGCTTTAAACTCTGCACACTGTGCTCTGATTGGTCAGCAGGCAGTGCTTTCACTGAGTTGAGCTCTTAGCCTGCAACCTAACCTGCTCCGGGGCAGGTTAGCCGCACAGCATAAGTTACCATGGAGATCTAGCCTGCTAAAAAGAGAACCAGCTTCGTAGGACCGGAAACCCTGAGTTTTCCCTAAAGTTAGCCGGCTAAGCGAAAATCCTGCTTCGTAGTATACCCCCCAGGTGAACACAATCAGGCACAGGCGTGGAAACACAGGAAGTAAAACTGGGAGAGACACAAAGAGAAAATACATTTCAAAATAAAACAGGGAACATTAAATACAAAAACCCCAAGTCTAACAAAAAAAGGTGTTGAGTAAAGTATGTCATAATTGTGGCAGATATAGGCTTCCATAGAATAGGGCCTAATTGACGTTTTTTCTGAAGTCTGCTTGAATTCACTTGAAATTTGAATGGAAACACGACTACTGGCTTCAGCTGTTTGTTTCTGTATGAACCACAAACCATCTTTATCGTTTCTGATAAATAAATAAAACACACGTAACCCTTGACTATGCATCGATTTCTGATTTTACAAAAGCAAAAAGAAAGGAGCTGCAGTTTGCAACCATGTGATAGTAGAAAACAGACTACCACCACTTTCTAAAAACCTTAACTATGAGTTATCAGAAAATACAGAAATATAAATGAGTGTTTTTAGTTTTGCTGGTCGACAAGCGACTCGCTGATTTCCTGCAGACAAAAACAAAATGGCTCACGACATCCGCTTTATCCGTGACAGAAATCCAACAAGCTCACATTCAGAGAAAACATGGAAGAAAAATCCACCAGCTAAATAGTGTAAGCCCTCCCCTCTTAATAACATTTTTTTTCCAAATTATGAGATATTAGGACTTACTATCTCATAATAAAGATTTGTACAACTATGTGAAACCTTCATGTAGAAACTCTTTGTGATTTGAAAGTCTTTTTTTAATACTTTCATTATATGTGATTTTACATTTTCTTTATTAATTTATTGTTTTGTTTCCTTTAAATTAAATATTTTCTTCTAAAGATTTTTTATCCACAAGGGATAGTGTTATTGCTGTTTATTCACACAGGCAGGGAGGCGTGTGATTGTGCGTTGGTGTTCGGATCAGGGGTCACAGGTTCAAACCCCACTGTAGTCGGCATGTCGTTGTGTCCCTGGGTAAGACACTTCACCCCAAATTGCTCCTGTGGGGATTGCCCACAGTATTGAGTATGTAAGATGCTTTGGATATAAGTAACATGTAATGTATTCACACAGGGGTTTTCTTCAAAGTGTTTGATGTTCAATCGTTTTTACACTAAATAAGATTGAATAAAAAATATTAAGAGGTATTTATACAAATGTTCTTTTCTAGGTCAGAACTATTATATTCCTTTTGTGATGAGATATTAAAAATAAAATAAATGTATGTGATAGATTTGTCTCCACGTGGCATTAATGAACTGCCATACTTGATGTTAAAATCAGACGTCACATCGTGAAAGAAAAAATCTCGACGAAGAACCGAACGCTCTCGACTCTGACGGCCCTCAAACGCTCCACAGTGGAGTTGAAGCACATTAAATCCCTTAAGGTGGAAATGTCAGTTCATTTTAATAGCTGTACCTGAAGGCCTCACAATATTCTCTCCGCTTTACGTCTTTAACAGATCACAGATACATTTTTGGGAGGAATTCGCCTTTGCTTGACAGTTATCAGTGTCGAAAAAGTGAAAAAAACATGGGGTGTGACTGTATATATACAGTCTATGGGTGTGACGTGCCCCACAGCTGGAATCGAACCGGGAACATTGCGGTTATGAAAAAAAAAAATGTATAAAAGAAAATAAATTATGTTTAAAATGTAACTCTGTAACTCTACTGGAAGAAAACATAAATGCTTTTTTGAGATATATTTTAAAAATCATTTTGGTGCACATTGGCCTTTTTTACAATAACACACACACCCTCACAAAAAATGTAAATGTTCAATTAATACACTCACAATAACTCTAGGAAATGTGTGAATTTCTTTAATTTTGCCTATCCAACCACAAAGTCCCAGGTTTTATTTGAATTACTCAAAGGCGAAATCCACAAAAAAATCTACTTGTTTTAAAGATGAAAACATATTCACACACTTTTGTCCTTCAGCTGTTTTCAACTCATACAATAAGAGAAATCTATTTAGGTCAGATATAGAAATTGTATCACCAGATTGTTTTTGTCCTCACTTGCCTCTCAGAACTTCCGTATATTTTCTTTATCGTCTGCAGTATGAAAAAACACTGAATGTGCTTGTCCATGGTGATGTTGCAGTTCCTCCACTTCTACTTCAAAGTTTATGCGAAGTTAACGAGAGTCTTGCACCTGAACACATCACAAAGGTCGGAATCTTTTATCTGAAGCTCCTGAACGCAGCATTGTTTCTCTCTCGTGTAATCACAGTTTTTACATCTGAGAGTTTTGCGTTAAGCTGCTGATTGTTTAAGGAGATCTTCCGAAATATTTCATACTTCTGTTATTCCATCTGTGGCCTCCTCTCCACGATGGTGGTTAACAACTGCAACATTTTGGCCAAAGGTGGGTTTTGGATACAACACTGATTCAGTTTTATATATTTATTTTAAGTTAGCTTGCTGCCAGGAGTTCTGTTGTTGGCTGTGTGTTCGGGAAATACATTCTGGGAGTCGGAATTGCCTCCTCAAAATGTATTTGGTGAAATATTTAAGTCATATAGAGGTATTGACAGAGTGGTGGTGGGATGAAATGAGCATCTCCCTGGTTCCCTCCCCAAAAAGCCAATGAGATTATTCTATTGGATTTTAGATTATTGCAGAATGTATTGATACTTTACAGGTTTTGTTCAGCCGAATATCTTTACAAATTGACAACTGTTTCAATTGGAATATCCAGAAGTAAAAGTTAACGTTGGACTACAAACAAACTAAGAATTGGTCACATGACTTTACGTCGATATCGCTAAACTAAAGTTAGCTTATGTTTGGCATGATGACCTTTAGTAATCTCATTTAGGAAACACGGTTTTCAAAAAACGTCGAAGCTTCAGGCATTCACCAGTGGGTTATTTACTGATGTATTTTATGTTGCAGAACAAAACCTGAAAGTCTGTTAACCACAGACCTTATTTCAACCTCTAAACAAAAACTCATTCAACAAACCATTGACTTCCGGACGAGGGAATAGCTAGTGCTAAAATGCTAACTAATGTTAGGGTTTTAGGACTCATTCCTGCAGCACGATATTTAGAAGATTTAAATGTGTTTCCCTCAATGTATTG